AAGTGATGCTGTGTTGCTAATGTCACACGCAGTCTACCATATTTTTTGCGAACATTGGGTGTTCAATGTTAATGGTTTATGTTTTATAGGTTAGATATGGTCTGTGTGTAACATTAAAACCTCTTGCAATTGTAGATTGTGGTACCCCTGCTTCCAGTCGCCCATTTTCCTTTTTGTGCCACGCAACATTCAGATGCAGCATTTTTAGGAAACGTCATTTCTCAAATAAAACAAGATTCAAAATATCGAGAACCCCCGCTTTTGATAGCCCCTTTGTACCTGAAGGAATTGCATCGGAATTCAACAAATGAAAATTGAGATAAAAATTTTGGTGGAAATTTTGCAAAATCACGTCTTTTTGTCTGTGAGACATGTAGAATAACTGTAAAGTTAACAATTGCATTAAAAAATCATTCATTACACTCGGATACATCGTATCCATACAAAAATAAAAGGTATGACAAAACTATCACAAATTTTCAGGGCATTGTTCTTACTATGCGTTTCTTTTTTTGAAGAGTATATATCCAAATATGAAAAAAAGATATGGCCGACTCTGTGGTATGAAATACATAGAGATAACGAACAGTATTTATACTCAAAAGTATAGGCCTACAATACAAAATTTGAGCAGAGCAAACATAGACCTTCAAAACATCAGAGGTGGGATCTGGTGCAATATATTTTATTTCAAGTTCATTTGATTAGATGTAAGAATAGGTAACGATTGTTAATTGATAATGTGTCGTTGATATACAGTATCTAAATGTCGAGATGAAAGCCACAGCAAAGGTTTTCTTCCTCTCATGCACAAGGCTTAGAATATTTTCTGTCATATGAATACCAAAATATGTCTGCTAATAATTGGGATGAATTTGGGAATTCCTACAGATTTATGAAAACGTCGATCTCCAAAAACTACAAAGATATTGTCAGTAAGAAACTCCAGCTTCATTTTATTGTCTTTACCTTAGAAATCTTGCGTGTATATTCAGAATACTTTTAACAGAATAAATTTGCAAATGACCAGTGACAATTAAGGTTAATAAATTGTAATGTATCCACATAAGGTCCACGATTGGTGTTACTGGTCAACAGGGGATGCTTACACATCCTAGGATCTTATTCTCATCTCTGCAATATCCAGGTAACTGAAATTCTCTAAATCAACAAAGATAAGTTCGATCTACAGTGCCTTTACTGGATTCCCAAACGTCATTAAACATCATAAAAACACAGATACATTGCTTAGTCAAGATAATGACCTTTCAAGCCGCAATCTTTACTCCTTACAAAAATATTATCTGCTGTAAAGAGGAAATTCCAGACATACAACTACATATTCCATAAAAGGTTTTAATCAGAAGCGGATTCTCAAAAATTCCAAAGGTTATAAAAAAAAACAACATTTTTACATTTTATAGTACCACTGCTCACAAAAATAAGGAAAGGCTCTTTGGAACCATAAAAAGTGCTACACCAATCAAAAAAGAAGTCAGAAATTCTCACATCTTGTAATTTGTCACCAAATATTTTTCCAAAAAGAACTTTTGTAATTCCCATGTCCATTAATTGTGCTCCTATATTGACTGTTTTTTTTTTCTTCCCGTGATGCAAAATATATTTTTAAAAACGGTGGCCTTTTACTCGACATTAGATATTTCGAAAATGTAATTTAATAATATTATTGACAAACAATAGTTACTTCCATTCCAACTCCACCCATTTCTTGTATTGGTGAAGTAGTAGATAGAGTTTGACGAGAGATTATTTATATTTGCAAGCGTAATTCATCGTACTCATTGGACTGTCCGTAAGTTGAGACCTCGAAAGACTTAAACAGAAAGAATACGGTTCCATGGGATCTATTTCTAGGATTTTTCGAAAAAATAAAAGTTGATGTGACTGACCTAGAAAACTTCAAGATGTCGCCGATGTGTACCTTGTGTATTATCAGGTCGGGATGTATATTAGTTTTTATAAAAGGAAAATAAGTAACGTCGTAGAAATAAAATAATAAGTAGGTGCCTATGGAAAATAAGATTAAATTGTCTCTGCTGGTGCTTTATTACGGTATGAATGTTTTTCTCTTTGCATAAAAAGATGCTACCATGAAGGACCTATAAGATGATATTACCAAATTGACATTAATAATTAAACTCAAATGGATATTGGCTAATCCGAATTTGCTTTAATTTCTTAAATTTTTGAGGATATATTAGACATATGGTTAATTTGTCGCATAAACTTACAAAATGAAACAAAAACAAAAGGTTTGATCGTTTACTAAGAGAGAAAGAATGCTTTTAACGGGGTTGGGGTTCAACTCTGTACTCAGATTGAAGCTTATAAGAGCTTTTAAAGTTCTAGTATTTTTTTTGAAAAATTATATTAAATTGATATGATTAGATACTTTAGTCCCTTATTATTAATTAAACTTTCATTTGAAAAGTTCTATAATAATATTGAGAGGTAGAAAAAAAAAAGATATTTTCATACGCTATTATTCCGCCAAAAATAAAGTCCCTACTAGTTTTCAAACGCAGTTTACTTTTTCTATTTAAGATTGCACAATTGTGATGAAGAAAGAAAAATATGGTCTTTTAAATCCCTTACAACTAAATATATAATACATATAATTAAGCAAATATAATTTGAATATTTCATCTAGTCAGAAACCAGAGAAGAATCCTACCCTAAAAACACCTATAAAAATTATATAACTTTTCAATTTTTGTTAATTACATGATTTAAGCATTAATAAACGAGTGGAGAATAAAGAGTGGATATATGACTCTTTTGGAACATTACTGATCGAGGAAGAAGTTATCTTAAAGATTCTGTGAAAAAACTGGTCAGGGAAGAACCTACTCTACAGCTAATATAACGCATTTTGGTGACATGCAATAGGTGAATGATATTTTAAATCTGATATCCAAGATGAATTAATGTAAAAACACAATATAAAAATAATTTTCTTATTTCTCTGTTTTGATTTACTTTGCCGCACATACAATATATATAAACTTGTTTTTACGATAAACTATCTCGTTATTTTGAATGAAAACAAACTTAGGACTTACTCTATCCAGTTTTCTGTCATAAAAACTCGTTTTCTCCTCGCTTATAATGTCTTTTGTACGACTTGTATTAATATCTCGAACGTATGACATACGAGGGGTAATCAAAAAGTTCGCGAACTAATTGAAAAACTTCCATAAAAGAAACGATATTTGGTTGAAGTGTTGATTATATTTTAAATTAGTCCTTTCCGATTTCAATGCACATCAACCACTGTTCTGCTTATCTGCGAATCACGTGATATAGGCGGTCACATGACCCCTCTGTATAGCGTTCTGTCACAAAAGCTGAAAGATTTTTCTTAGTTTTATTCTTCTTTCCCTGTAAGTTAATTTTTATAACAATAACAGTTCATTTGTCAGAAATGGTCAAATCTTGGCAACATAATGGGTGAATAAGAATACCCTTTCCAAAAATAAGCATGGCGACCATGAAAACCCATATCTTTTTTCTCGGGAGAGACATTTATTCAAGATGGATAGAAAAAGGGTGACTTCTTTTACTCATATCTAATATGTTTAAAATCTCAAGTAAACAATATCTTAGGTATTTAATGATTTTATTATTGTTCAAATATTCAACTAATTTTCAAAATTTAAAGGTCTTTGATGGCAAATTGCTTAATTAAAAATTTCACATCTCTTTTCAAACTTGCTTTCACTGGACAACATAACAAGTCTTATTTTTAACCATATGCGTTCTTTCACTTAAACGACAAATCTAATCATTGGTTGAATTTATAGGAAGTCATTAGTCTTAATAAACTGTGTACAAATTATTATAAGCTACTGCAAAGGGAGTTCTAAGATACACAATAAAGTGTACAATTGTTTGTTGAACGACTCCGACTGAGACAACCATTTTTCGTCACAAGTGATCTACATGTTCTTAGTGACGTCATTTTTACATTTTGACGTCACAAACAAGGAGCAAAACTTTATTCGGCATATACTTTTTTATAGAAATTGTGTATAGCTATGTGTGTACCAAATGTTTTTGTAATCTGAATTGTTGTTTGGTAGATATAGATATAGTTCGCGAACTTTTTGATCACCCCTCGTATCATCTCGAATAAAATTATTTTCCTGCCTATGTTACTTATTATTTCGTTCGAAGGACTTGGGTTTTAGCTCTACTGGCCAGAGACCAGAAGAGCTTATGCAAAAGCATGGTAACTGTCGTCCGTCCCTCTGTCTAGCTGTCTGATAACAATTTTTCAAAATGCTACTCCTGCCTGATTTCCATAATATAACTTGGCACACAAGAAGACTACGCTAGGATACAGAATTTAGTGAATCGGATTTTTGACTTCAATGAACGATGATGCCATTGTTACTAAAATGGAAATTTACGGAAAATTCCTTTAAAACGCCACTTTTCTTACAGCTTTGGTCTGATTTCAAAATGACTTGGCACACAAGTAGACAAAACTAAGATACAGATTATCTTTATTGGCTTTTGATTTTGATAAACGGAGTTGCCATGGTTGCTATAAATAGAACTTCTTTATAAAACTTTCCAAACCATACTCCTCCTACAGATTTGATCTGATTCTAATATAATGCCACATTCAAGTAGACTACAATGAGAAACATAATTCTCTTTATTCTTTTTTTATTTTTATGAATGATGTTGCCATGGTAACTAAAATTGAAATTTCTGTAACTTTTTTTTTAAAAGGCCACAAACCAGTATAGCTATTGTCTCTACGGAAACTTTTGTTTCAAAAAATATTTTCGACTTGGATCTCCTGTTTGAGATTAAATAAAAAAGTGTTTGAAAAATATGCCAAGTCTAACATTTCCCTAAGTACCCCCTTAAGTAGTATCTCCTCCTAAATAGACTGGCAACAAGTAGAATTCAAGTGTGTTATGAATGTCACTTATTTCTGAAAGTTAGAAGATGATGTATGCCTTAAAAGAAACGGAATTTTTAATATATTCTCATTGAACGTCGTTGAGAACAGACTTACAGTGATCATGAGTGCTATTATAATTTTTCAGATTCTGTGCTTCTATCTTGTTTTAGATGATGTTTCTTCAGAGTGTGACAGAACTAATGGACCCCTGGGACTGACAGATTGTGTCCTTTCACCACAATATGCAAAATACCAGGCCGCTGTTTGTTTACCCAGAACGATGTCCTCTTTAAATAAACACGTAACATGTGCCGGGAAAACGACAAATTTCTGCTGGTATTTGTGTAATACAGCTCCAAGTCACGGAGGTCTGTCAGCATGCCAGTGCGATCCGGATTCCAAAACTGAAAGAAATAATTCCCCTCTTGACAAAGAGTGTTATTTACCAACAAAAGACTGCTCCTGGTTTTCAAAATGCTTGAAGAAGAAATATGACTGCAATTCAATAACACATGCAGAAAACAAATGTAAAAAATTGAGGGGTCTTGTAAAATTGTCCGTTTTGAAATTGAGTAAGTTGGCTTTAGGTTGGGTTTGGAAAGTGACTTCTTGTATACAGAGAGATTTACTTCACCTCCTGTATCCGCAGATTAAAAGTGACTGTGAAAAAATTGGGAAAGTAATAGATCAATCTACTAACACATGTTACTATGAGCCACACTCTGGTATATGCACTTTAACGTTTCTTGATGAAGTAATCTTACTCAAATATGGATTTGAAACAAAACGATTTCATTGCAAGTTTCAAAAAACTGTACCTGACTGGGCAAAATTGCTTGTATTCTATGTGAGAAATGACTCTCCGAAAGATTATAATACCCTGGCTTTTGAATTTGGTGAATCACTCTCTAAGAAGTTTAATTGGAATTCTGACCTGACCTACAATTCAATGGCCTCGGAAACAACTAATTGCAAGAGCAAACCTATAAAAATTCGTTTCTACCTTTACTCGAAAACCAAAAAACTCAAACAGATAAACGTCGCCAATGACGATTTAAAAAAGTATATTGAAGAAGGGAATATGAAGGATTTGGAACTGAAAGACAAGGCGCCAGTTTTTATTGTCCGTGTGATGAGCTGTATAGATACTCTGTGCTCTCCCGCTTTTACCTTCTTTTTTTACCAAGCACGTAAGTATCAAATTAAAAAGAAAAGCTTGTATCTTTCTTTCCTTAATATGTGCAATACTATAGTAAAGGAGATTTCTTTAAAGAAAGAAAAAATAATGCTGGTTTTTCTATTTTCCATTTGATTATGTTCATTTAAATTTGTGCAAAATCTTATGCACCGTATACAACGGGTCACGCGGGGGAGTCGTTTTCAACGTATGGGGGAGTAGATTTTCACCGCTTCGGAGTCAGAGGAGATGTGGGTCACGTCTTTTTTGGTATATATAAGATGTATTTACAAAAAACAAATATCCCACGGAAGATGGCAATAGTTAAGCTTTATCGTGGTCATTTGTCCGGCTATCATATACGTCTAGTTTTCTCAAACACTTCGAAACTATTTGACAGTTTTCTTATTTACGTTGATCGGGTAGTAAAAACATGCATGATTTGCACAATCTACGGCCTGCGGAGGGATTCTCACATTTAAAACAGCGAGAGAAAACGTTCATCTTTTAAATGCAACAACTTAATCTTGACTAGACTTTATAAAAATTAATAATTAAGACATTTTCTCTTCAAACAGTAACGGTTACGTAGGGGGAGTCGTTTATGGGAAAGCACATCGTAGGGGGAGTCGCAAAATAAAGTCAAATGCATATACTTGGTGTTGTTTTCATCTCTTTTTATACTGCCAATACCTTTTTATTTACTCGCAGATATCTATAAATCTATGTTTGGTTATTTAATTTATAATCTGAAGTTACGAAAAGAGATTTTTTCTGTGGCTTTATCAGTTCCAGAAAACAATCAGCAATTAAGATTACATGTGCAATTGGATTATACATTGTATATCATCGGAACACATGTACTCGGGGACAGAACCCTCCCCCTCAGTATGTAATGTTCGTACATGTTTATCACAAAAATTCAATTCACGAATTCAGAACCCTCACTTCCACAATGAAAGCCTCTCCATAAAAAAAAATCAACTAGATTTATAATATAAAAATTTCTTGATAATATCAACCATTTTTTTTAATTAGAAAAAGGCAGATCTCTGACGCGTTTTCACGCCCCTTGACGTTTTCTTTGAAAGGGGGTTAAATTTAACTGGTATATTCCCACGATTAGGTTCACAATTTATTATTTATTTATCATACCGGTATATAGTAACACATCTTCAAACACAAACGAATTAGTATTTTAATTGAGAATATTTTGGATAATCTGATGTTAATACATATATAATTAGGTTAATGTACAGAATGAATGCTGAGGATGGGACTGGATTGCATATTACCTAAAGCGCTGGAAATGTATGTCTATGATAAATAAAATGATAAGTGTCAATGTAAAAATAATTTACCACAAACTTTGAAAAGAAGAAATACGAAAATATTTCTTCAATGTATACATTTCATTATCATGATACCCTCCCTTACCTTGCCCCAGCTCTATACAGTTCCTGAGAACATGTTACCCCCTTTACCCCCCCCCCCCCTTTCGCAGTTTCGTGAACACATAGCATGGCGGGTTGTTGTACCAGAATCAGTCTATGGCAAACAGCATTATACATTCATAGACAGGGTTCGAGGGCAGCATGCGTTTTGTCGGACCCAAGAACCAAAATGTTTGCAGGACACTGGTTAGGCCGAAGGCAAATAGTTTTGTTCAATGGGTCGACAAAACACGTTTTGCCAGATCTAGAGAACACATTCAATAAATGTTTTGTTATGCATTTTACTGTTTACTATGATATTATCATGATGAAATTTTTGTTAACCCTCACAGCATTGAAAAACTGTCGATTCCGTTAAGTTCTGACAGCTGACCCCGCCCACACTTTGACGTAAACGGTGCAATATCTCATCGAAAGGTCCAACACCTCGCTCCACGGCCAAAGTGCTATTTATTTGACTTATGAAAACAGTAGAAAAGTTATTATTTTTAGTGTAAATTATGTAACAATTTTTAAAAGTATAACAAACGAATATTACCGACAACTCAGCTGAAAAATTTTGACAAGCAAAATAAATAAATAAAAAAAAAAAAGAAAAGAAACAAAAAACAAAAACAAAAAAATGGGTTGGTGAAAGGAGGTTACAACAGTTTGACAACCAAATTGTATGTATTAACACATTCGCAAATACTATAATTAAATATTCTGCAACAATATTAATAAAAAAATTATTTGATATTATTAAGAAATTTTCCAAATTATTCATGTTATTAATCGGGTTGTTTTTTTATGGAGAGGCTTTCATATTGGAAGTGAGGGTTCGTGAATTCGTGAATTGAATTTTGTGATAGACATGTACGAACATTACATACTGAGGGGGAGGGTCCTGTCCCCAAGCTCATGTGTTCCGATGATATATAATCCAATTGTTCATGTAATCTAAATTGCTGATTGTTTTCTGGAACTGATAAAGCCACAGAAAAAAATCTCTTAAATTTTCGTAACTTCAGATTATAAAGTAAATAACCAAACATAGATTTATAGATATCTACGAGTAAATAAAAAGGTATTGGCAGTAAAAAAGAGATGAAAACAACACCAAGTATATGCATTTGACTTTATTTTGCGACTCCCCCTGCGATGTGCTTTCCCATAAACGACTCCCCCCTACGTAACCGTTACTGTTTGAAGAGAAAATGTCTTAATTATTAATTTTTATAAGGTCTAGTCAAGATTAAGTTGTTGCATTTAAAAGATAAACGTTTTCTCTCGCTGTTTTAAATGTGAGAATCCCTCCGCAGGCCGTAGATTGTGCAAATCATGCATGTTTTTACTACCCGATCAACGTTATATGAAAACTGTCAAATAGTTTCGAAGTGTTTGAGAAAACTAGACGTATATGATAGCCGGACAAATGACCACGATAAAGCTTAACTATTGTCATCTTCCGTGGGATATTTGTTTTTCGTAAATACATCTTATATATACCGAAAAAAGACGTGACCCACATCTCCTCTGACTCCGAAACGATGAAAATCTACTCCACCATACGTTGAAAACGACTCCCCAATACTTTTTAGCGACTCTCCCGCGTTACCCGTTGTATACAGTGTTATGCGTGAAAAGAAGAAAACACTTGCTGTGGCCTTCAACTCAACATTTAGATACATAGACGTATTGTCAATAAACAATCATGGTAATTTCCATTCCTAGGTCGACTTGAAAAAGACGGTAATGGTAATCTAACAACCAAGCTTTATGATAAACATGATGACTTTAACTTTTCTATTGTCAACTTCCCTTATTTGTGCAGCAATATGCCTTCATCACCTGCCTACGGAGTTTAAGTATCTCAGCTGATTTGATACGCAAGAGCATGCTCTACGTATGAACAATTTCTAAAACGAGGTAAATCATTGACAAGCAAGTTGATGAACAAGAATATCAGCAGTCTCGTTTATGTCATCATTTCGTAAGTTCTATGATAGATACAATGACCTTGTCAGCAAATGCAAATTATCATTGAGTCAAAAGCTGACTGACATTTTTCATAACAATTGTTAGTCCATTATTTATACACTGGATTAACGACGGATTTTTCTGTTATTTCCTGATCATGACAAGGAGCACACGGCGAGTGTGACTGGTCTGCAGGGGATGCTCACTCCTCCATGGCACCTGATCTCACCTCTGATGTTTCAGGGGTCCGTGTTTGCTCTGCTCTTATTTTGTATTGTTTTATGGACTTTGAGATTGAATACTGTTCGTTATCTCCATATCTTACTTAACATATATGTTATCTCACAGGTGTATTACACATGTATATAATATATGTTTTATATGTAACTGAAACACATACTTTACATGTGTATATTTACACATGTGTATTACATGTGTAAAACATGCATTGAACACACGTGAAATTAAACATGTTTACACAGGTGGACATTTTTCCTGTGTAGTGTATTTATATAGCATAATGCAAAATTGTGTATAATTAATTGTGTTACTTTTTATGGTCTTTAATTGTAAACATAAGTTATGGTTACAATAACTTTATCGGAGACAAGATCAAGAACACATAGTAATTTCCTTCAGTTACAGTTCAATTACTGTGTGTTCCCCTTTTATAAACTAAGGAACGATTCCACTGCATTGAGATTAGCAAATGAAAACTACCTTATAAGTCTATTTTCCCCAAAGCTGAACAAACATTAACTTTGAGAAATTATCTATTCTGTATACCAGCAATTTCAATTTCTTTTTACTCTGTTTATAGAGACTGAGATAAGCATGATTTATTGTCCATTATTGTCCTATTGGAATTTCCCTAACTTTTACGTAACGTAGTTTTACTACTTCCTTCCCTGCAAAGACTCATTACGTCATAGTGAACGTTACCAAGCAAAACAATCAGTTCAATTTATGTACACCTGAAGACGGATTTTGAAATCTAGAAAGCGTTTGTGTTAAATGAAATTTAGAAACTGCATTTTCTTTCTCTGTTATAATTATTTTCACCTGTGTGACATCGACTTTGAACTATTTTCAACTATATATATATATATATATATATATATATATATATATATATAAAGCACTAAAAATGACCAACGACACGAACAATAAAAATTGTCAAATTTTCGGGACGCCCTGTCCCTTCCTCAGGACAAAGAAAAAAGTTAAAAAGTCATAAGAACAAAGGAAAAATAGAAACAAAAACAACTAGCACTACTACTAAGCTACTAAACACTAGATATTTACATACTTAATAAATTACATGTTGAATTCGAAATTTTTAAGAACAATAATATGTTATTATTATTGTTCTTAAAAATTTCGAATTCAACATGTAATTTATTTAAGGAATAACTGTCTTATTTTTCGAATTCATGAAGTGATCAATGGATTGGCTTGTGTGATAATTTGCATAAACGCCGAAGGCGTTTATGCATAAAATTATCACACAAGCCAATCCATTGATCATCTTCATGAATTTGAAAAATCTGACAGTTATTCCTTATATTTACATGCTTTGATTCCGCCAATCCACGGGCTCCAAGCCTGCTTCTCTCTAGGTGTTGTCCCGCCCTCACGTGGTTTTTTTTTTTTGGAACCGCGCCAAAACATTCATGAGGAAATCAATTACATTTACAATTGGTAATTTTATCTCGGACAAAGACATTGGAAATGTAAATATATATATATATATATATATATATATATATATATATATATATATATATATATATATATATATATATATATATATATATATATATATATATATATATATATATATTGTCAAGCCGGAGTCAGTACACAAGTGTTGACAATGCTTTATTCGAGTGCGTCATGCACAGTATAGGCATCTACACACATATATAATAGTGGAAGCTACAAAAAACATATAGGAATCATAAGCTAACAGCCCTAAATTGATGGACAATAATAATATCGACATAATGAATAATGAAATATGGCGCAAAAAACTCACAAGTGAAGTACTGGTTTGACATTAACAACAGACCTAGATGCTTATTTATCACTGACATTATCGAATACATGTAATATTTCGATCAATTATAAGGATAAAAGAATAAACTTGCACTTTGATGGGCTCCAAATTTGTACCATGATCAATTAGGTCGTACCTAAAATATTCTTATCATGCTAACATTATATACATGTATTTATATATTCAAGAGAGCATAATTAGCGATTAAAACTTTTAGCAGTCTACCACAAAACCGCTAAAATAAACAAATTTAGCAACCCGGTAAAACTTCCCGATTTACTTGGCTTGAAATTAATAAATTTGTATCTTTTTCACCATAGCGTGCAAGAAAATAAATATAATAAAAAGGAAGGATTGGGGAGCCAGAGAACCAAGACAAATCACCTATATTGAAGATGAGAATTCACCCGTCATTTGGGTTTTTATCCACCATACGGTTACAGATACATGTTTTAACGTTGAAGACTGTATATCTAGAGCCAAACTCGTACAGAATAGTCACATGGATGACGCACGTAAGTTTAATTTTCGATGTTATTTTTACGCCCATTACTCAGTATTATGGTAAAGCATCTCTTTCCGTTTGTCTGTCTGTCAGTATGAGGAGTGTGTTAAAATGATGAAATTGCTATCCGTTCTGTTCGTCGTCGTGCGTTGTGTGTTAACATTTGAACATTTTCAGCTTCTTCTCTGAAACACTGAACCAATTTCAACTAAATTTCGTATACAGCATCATTGGGGGAAGGGGAACAACAACTGAGAATTTTAAGGTCCCTGCCCCCTGGGGTCTGAAGGGTAGGGACAAAACCACTAAAATTAATGAAATATTTTAAAAATATCCTGGAGATCAAGCCGGCAAACTGTCAGCATGAATGTAATGAGTACTGAGTCTTCAACCAAAATTTTGAAATTCATATCTTCAGGGTCAGGGGTTCTGGTTGTAGGGAAGGGCTGTAAAGATTATATTGTAATATTTGCATATCTAATGCTCTCTCCCACTATGAACATGTAGTCACCAACTGCGTTCATAGCACCATAGACGCAACTGCTTCTGCTATGAGTGCAATTGCTCTACCACATTCGTGTAGTACAAAGTTTACTACAATTATATCACGTGCTGAGAAGTATATATATGAAATGTTTCATAAAAGGAATAAAAATAAGTTTTTAATAATATTCTTAAAAAAAAAGCAATTCAGAATATTTAAAATTGCTGATTGATATCTTTAAAAATTCTATTTTGGTCAATGTATTTAATTGTATAATAAAACTTTTTAAAATTGTAGATAACTGCCATATTTTAATTTTTTCATATCATATATATTTGTACAAAGAAAGATAACTCTTTACACTTGGGTAATAACACTCAGAAAGAGGAAATTTCTTTAACTAGTATATTTACTTCAAGAATGATTTCAGCTATTAAAAATAAATATGAAAAGCTAAAAAAAAAATCATAGAAAAGCATTCAGAAATAATAATCATTATAAAAGCATCTTGTTGAATTATTGATTTTTGTCAGAGGGTTTCAATAACGTTGATCGATGAAGTCACAACTGCATCAAAACAAAAATTAAGAGAATGTGATGACGGCGCTGCTTGTATCCAGATAACTGTTTGAGAGGGGAATACTTTATAAATTGTTTGTGATTTATTAGAGAAAAGGATCTTTGATCAGGTGTACTGATTTTAAAGCCGTATGTTTTTCATTACTGAAGACAAGAAGCCGCGTCCTTATGTAAGTCAGGATTTCCTCTGATATTCTTTAAAAAATCAAAGAATGCAAATATAAGTAATAAACAACGATTATCCAGTGAACATAGCATTATGAATAGCAATTGCTCTGTTGGCATATTTTCCATGATGCGCTAGCGCCATCATGGAATATGCCAGCAGAGCATTTGCTATTCATAACGCCAATGTTCACTGAATAACGTTGTTTATTTCTTAAATGTTTTGATTTTTGATACGACCCCTAATTGTAGCTACGAGTGTATTGAGCATTTTTTTTAAAACCATATATGGCGTAACTGTTCAAAAAATATAATTTTGTAAAATACAAAATTAAGTAAAGAAATATAGTTAATACACTGAAATTAAAACTTTTCATACAATTCTGAACACGGAGAACACCTCGTTTTATCTAATAATACGATTTTATCTTCTCTGTAATGTGTTATTTAAATCTTTTGTATTTTCTTCCGAGTCGGAGAAAATTCGGAGAATCCAAATTAAATTGTGATATCTTTATAACGCAATTGACTTAGATTTTGTAATTTACAGAAAAGTTCTATCTTTATGTAATAGTTAGATCATATTAAGTAAAATTTTAGTGGTTAAGAAGGGGCGGAGGGAGCGAAGCGACCGAGCCCTTCTTAACCACTAAAATTTTACTTAATATGATCTAACTTACTTAGAACATATTTTTCATTGGCTAATAAGTCAGCGCGCGTAGTTGCTGCATAGACATAAAATCTTAACAATTAAGTGATCAACTTAGTAGAAAATTTAGCAGCTGCTGATTGGAGGAAAAAGTAGGTTAGGTTCTAAATAAAGTAATCATACAAATAATAAGTTCTTATAATTCTAGTTTAATAATTTTCATAGTACATACGCCACATATGGCTTTAAAGTAAATATTAATATAATTTACTAAGAGATGAATGTAATGGTTGTATCTTTTATACATATTATCGAACTATTCATATTTCCGTATGATATTGTATTTAAATAAGTATTCTGGTTGATATTAAGATGTAAACACGTGTTGGCCTATTTTACGTTGACATGCATACTGATATCAG